TTGAATAGAACGCAATGCCTGTACAATGACCGGAAAAAAAAAAGTGAGTTAAACTAATGCTTTAAGGCAATAACTAATGCCTTAAAGCTTTTACTTTTTCTGATTTTCTCATGCTTCCCTATAGAACATTCCAAAAGCACATCAAAGAAATAATGAACCTGCTTTTCTTCCCCCCACTTCTGTCTTTCTTCCCCCCCGCCTTTTTTTTTCTTTTTTTGTTTAAAAGCTCCTAATTTGCTACTTTAGCAGTAACAAAATAATTTGCCAATCAATGGCTTAAGGTTGCAAGTTTCCCTACATTTGCAGTTAGAGCTTGCACGTTACTTCTCACTGCATCCAGTCCATCCTTCAAACAGACCCACAAAACAAACAAACTCACAAAACAAACAAATAAAAACACAATGATTGTGATTGCAGCTCTACATAAGACGTTCATACCATTGAGTATATAAAACAAAAATTTGATATCTATAAGGCTGCGAGTTTGGAAGCATAAAATTGGGGCTTTGGAACTGAAATTGGAGAAAAACCAACTCGAAGTTCAAACAATATCCAACCACTACATCACGACAAGAAGAAGGCTTGGGTTTACTGGAACTGATGAAATCACGACATGAAAGTGCACCTAATATTGTTACCTACAATTGCTTGATTGATGGTTTTTGCAAGGCTGGTGAAATTGAGAGGACCCATGAGCTTTTGGATCAGAACGTACAAAGAGGTGGTGATGCCAAATGTGATTACACTTAATACTTTGGTTGATGGCATGTGTAAGCATGGGAGAATCAATAGTGCAATAGATTTCCTTAATGAAATGCAGCAAAAGGGTTTGAAAACTAATGCAATTACTTACGTTATCTTGATTAGTGCTTTCTGCAATGCCAACAATATTGATAAGGCTATGGCATTATTTGATGAAATGCTAAAAATCGGGTGTTCTCCAGATGCAATTGTGTACTACTGCTTGATCTCTGGTCTAAGCCAAGCTGGAAGGGTGGATGATGTTAGCTCGGTGGCATCAATGATGAAGAAAGTCGAGTTCAGCAGGAAGAATAGATTGGAGAAAGCTACAATGTTCTGATTAGTGGGTTCTGCAGGAAGAATAGATTGGAGAAAGCTTATGAGATGCTTAAGGATTTAGAGGAAGCTGGAGTGAAACCTAATAGTGTTACATACAACACTTTGATTTCATATTTCAGTGAAATTGGAGATTTTAGGACGGCCCATACACTGATGAGGCGGATGGTTAAAGAAGGTCTTGTGCCCACCGTTGTTACTTATGGAACACTGATTCATGCATATTGCTTGGTGGGCAATCTTGACGAAGCAATGAAAATTTTTACAGACATGAGTTCTGCATCAAGGGTATCACCCAATACCATTATATATAATAATCTGATAGACTCAAACATCAATCAAATTTTTTTTTAACAGACATGCTTGTTCTAAGGAATACTTTCTATCAAAAAAAACAAACTCAAACATACACGCACAGACCCATGTATTTATTAGCCAATTAACCCTCTTTCTGCTATCAAATTGAACCAACCCAATTGAACACAAACAGACAAATGAATAATTTATTATGTTCTTCATCAATCAAATATTGGAGATGCACGGAGAAAGAAGCATGACCAGCTCAATAGCAGAGTCAAAAAAAATAAATTATTCATAACAAAAAAATTTTAAGATTAAAATCCATTCTAATTTATCTTAACAAAAAAACTCATCATATGATTTCAATTTCAGAAAAATAAAAGGAATTGATACTCACTTAGAGACTTGTCATATAGAGAGAGAAAGAAACTGGATACTTGTGGCTGGCTGGTGGCTTCGAAGATGAGACAGCGAGAGAGGCAAGAGTCTCTGAGACTCAAAAAGGAGGAGGCGGTAGGGAGAGGCGAGAAACAAGAGAACCAAGAAATCTGAATGTGAATGTGAAAGCTACAATACAAAAAACCCAGATCAAAATCATCAACATCAAATGAAGAAAGATTGGATCAAGATCATGGGTATGAAATGATTTATAAAAATTACGATAATAATGAATCAAATACTTGTGTGAATCGGAAATTGAGCAGAGAGATCTGTGGGATCTGTGGCTTTGGACAGCGATCTGATGCGAGAGAGGGAGAGGAGGTGTTTGTGCAGAAGAGGGATGATGGGGGGGTGTTTGCGCAGAGGGTGGAAGTGACTCGCCACCTGACTTGCCGCCTGTGTGCTGTCATGGCGCGGTTGCTTGTCCAAGAATTGAGGGAAGTGACCGCCTGAGAGAAGTGAGAGAGAAAAGAGGTTGCTCTGTTTTTTTTTTGCAGGGAGCCGTTGGGTTGGATGTGAGAAGTGGGTTGAGTTAGATTGGATGAGTTGGGTTAGATTGGATATGATGGTTGGGTTTGATTAAGTTGGGTTGGATGTGATGGTTGAGTTGGGTTAAGTTGAATGAGATGTATTGTGAGCCTTTGGATGTTGAAGCCTTTGGATGAATGAAGACCGTCCGATCGGCTTGTTGAAGCCCTGCTCTGTTTTATATTACAGAATTATAGATATAGATTTGACACAAATAAAAGTAATATTCTATATTTTTTTTAATTACAAATTTCATATTTTACTCATTTGACTATGTATTCCATAATTTTTGAATCAAATGAAGTTTCAACATATCATACCAATACTCTAAATAATCAATTTAGTTTGCTAATTTTAAGAGATTGATATAAACTTTTTGATTTTGTTTTTTTGTTCTAGTACCCAACTTGTTTGACCTAATTAATTTTATTTTGTATAAATCATTACAGTGAGCCCAATTAATCCAAAATATATATATAAAACTTATATAACTAAAAAAATATATATTTTTTCAGGGTGGCCTCAGACCCCTCCATCTCTGCCACTGCTAAAGAGAGAGAGAGAGAGTGAAGAGTGAGAAAAAGAGGGTAAAATTCAATATGAATAATTTTGAGAAAAATGTTGGTAGCCTTTAGATGAATGAATTTAAGACCGCAGAAACGTCTTGTTCAAGTCGGCCTATTTTATATTGTAGATAAATCCACGAAATATAATAAAATTAACTTTAAAAAATGTTAATTTATATACATGTAATCAAAATTGAGTTAAATTTATCAAAAATTATATCGTCAAAATATTTTCTATCAAAAAAAGATTTATAGATATCATTTTATAAAATATTATTTTTTAATTAGTGCAAGCTATTCCAAGATTATTCGTAATCGTTGACTGGTTGGGACGGAAAATATTAAGGAAAAAAAATATTAATTTCTTGATCGTTAGATGAATGAATTTGAGACCGTAAGATATGTTCTAAGATCAGTCGTAATCGTTGACTTATTGGGGAAAATATTAAGAAAAAAAATTATAATTTCTTAACCGTTGAATGAATAAATTTAAGACCATATGATCGACTTGTTGAAATCGTCCTATTTTATATTATAGATATCAACTGTTTTGATTTTTTAACACAGACATAATCCAAAAAAAAATTGGTAAGTGGATTTTTTTAAAGAATCCTATTAAGGCCAGAGACCAGCCTCAAAATTTAACAGGGTCCCCTTCCCCGGCCCGCCCGAGGGTAAATATGAAATTCGTATTGATTATTTTGGTGTTTTTCAGTAGTGTTTGCAAGCTCTACTTAGTGGACCATGTCAGATGCCATGTGTAAAGCTTTATCACTGATGGTTAAATATTCGACGTAACGGCGAAATTATGTTAATATTGATTATATAGAATTATTAATTAAAAATATATAAATAAATAGAAAAATAGATCCCACATAAGTGGGGTTCACTTTGTCTATTTAACATTTTATTATTAATTAATAATATTATATCATTAATACTAACATAATATCATCTTTATATTAAATATTTTTTAATTTGAGTAGTCCCAAATGAAATATTGGCAAACCATTTATCGTGTATTAATAAAGGACCCTATTTATGTAAAATAGATCCCATGAATTTACGATAGACAAATTTACCTAGAGGGTAATGGAACATGACATATTCGAGGAGATTTCGTTCCCAAGTTCACTAGTATTGAGGGAGAGAGTGGGATTTTTAATATTTTATATTATTATTATTGATAGTTATTAGTAGTTAGGCATTAATTTAATAATAATATATTATTATTTTTATTTAATAACTTATATCTCTTTTTTGAATCATATTTAACTTTAATTCTTTGCCACTTTTGTATATTTCTTATTCTTTTTATTTCCAAACAAATAATTATGGGTAAATTTCAATGTCACCTTTTAGATTTTAGTCATATTTTATTGATATTCCCGCTAATTTTTGAAATATCACTACATATATCTGTTAGTTTTTATTAGTTATTGTTAAGGGATAATAATGATGACACGATTTTTTTTCCACTAATAATAGTTTAATATGAGCAATGATACTTGACTATAATTTATTAATTTAATTCACTTTTGTTGGTATCCGTTACAAATTTAATAGTTATAATGAATTAAGTCAACAAATTACGTCAATGAATTATGTCTAAATAATATTATTAGTTTAATATTTAGGTGAATTATATTTTATATATTAAAAATTTTAAAATTTTCACTCTATATTATCAAAAATTAGTTTTTTTATATTACACCATTAATATATTAAAAATATTGTAATATAAATTTTTTTGTTAGTTTTTATAGTTTATTTTATTAATATTAATTATGTAAATTTTAACAAAATAAATAAAGTAAGAATCACATTGCAACCCTTCTAACACGTTCTAAGTGTAAATTGCCAAACCTTCCAAGGTCCGATTCCCCCTTAATGATGTCCCTTCCCGGGTCTCTCTCTCTGTGCCCCTGCGTGTAAACATACGCACGCATATATGCTCTCCTTGGTCACTAAGTAATACTATACCTTTTACGTACCAGAAGAAAGGTTATCCCTTTTTGTGTGCTTCACAAAGACCCAGAAAGTCTTTACACATACGAGACTGTGAGTCTCTTTCTATCTAACTGAAGGCCTTGATCATTTTATTTCCAAATTTATCACCTGATTGTCGTGAATCTTGAAGTGTGAATTTTTTGAGCTTCGACTCGACGTGTTTGTGTCAATTTGGGGAAGTTTGTGTAATAGGGTTTGATTTGTTTCTTTTTTTTACTATGTTTGTGCTTTGATGATTGTTTTATACTTGTATCAGTGCCTGATTTGACTGAATTTCGAGTTTTACGAACTTAATCTGTCGTAAATGTTGAAATTTGGGGTTTCTGTGATATTGAATTCGTGATATTCTGATTTTATGGGCTCCGATGAATTTGATTGCAGGTACAGCTTGTTAGAGCCGAGTATTTTTGAGAAAATTTACGGGTAAATTCAGAACTTTTAAAGAGGTTTTGTTGTTCTTGAAACTTGGGAGGTCAAGATCTCATGAGAATTGTCAGGGGAATGCAGAGATCGATTCGTGAGGACCAAAGGGAATTGGGCTGGAACAACTCATTCAGCCGAGGAATTGGCGTGACCGCTCCAAAGGCAAGAACGCGCGACAAATTGAAAACTAGGGTTTTGTACCTCTAATTTGGGCTTATTGGGATAAATAAAGGCAAGGGTTTTGAGGTTGCAGAAGAAGGAAAATGACTCGGATTTTGGTTCAGCGAGGTTCTGTGTCATCGTCGAACCCGAATAGACCATCATCTTCCGTGCCAAGTTCTTCTTCTTCTTCTTCTTCTTCAGCTCCACCCCAGCCTCAGGTTACTATTACCTCTCCTCAGGTTGTTTCCACTGTGAAAAATGAGGAATTGGCAGAGGAAGTGGNAACATATCATACCAATACTCTAAATAATCAATTTAGTTTGCTAATTTTAAGAGATTGATATAAACTTTTTGATTTTGTTTTTTTGTTCTAGTACCCAACTTGTTTGACCTAATTAATTTTATTTTGTATAAATCATTACAGTGAGCCCAATTAATCCAAAATATATATATAAAACTTATATAACTAAAAAAAAATATATTTTTTCAGGGTGGCCTCAGACCCCTCCATCTCTGCCACTGCTAAAGAGAGAGAGAGAGAGTGAAGAGTGAGAAAAAGAGGGTAAAATTCAATATGAATAATTTTGAGAAAAATGTTGGTAGCCTTTAGATGAATGAATTTAAGACCGCAGAAACGTCTTGTTCAAGTCGGCCTATTTTATATTGTAGATAAATCCACGAAATATAATAAAATTAACTTTAAAAAATGTTAATTTATATACATGTAATCAAAATTGAGTTAAATTTATCAAAAATTATATCGTCAAAATATTTTCTATCAAAAAAAGATTTNGGAAGTGGTGGAACAGGTTGTCATGGATGAGCTTTGTGACAGTGGAGGAGTGAAAAATGATGATCTTTTCCAGGAAAGCTTGGACTGTGCTCCGAATGATAACGATGCAAAAATTGTTGNTTATAGATATCATTTTATAAAATATTATTTTTTAATTAGTGCAAGCTATTCCAAGATTATTCGTAATCGTTGACTGGTTGGGACGGAAAATATTAAGGAAAAAAAATANTTATAGATATCATTTTATAAAATATTATTTTTTAATTAGTGCAAGCTATTCCAAGATCATTCGTAATCGTTGACTGGTTGGGACGGAAAATATTAAGGAAAAAAAATGNAAAATTGTTAACAGTGAGACAGTTGGGATTGGGATTGATGATGTTGTGGGTTCGGGGGATTTGGTTAGAGGGCTAAGTGGGTTGAGGGTCACAGAGGAGGGCAATGATCGATCGGGTGGAAGCTCTTTGCAGGCGGTGATAGGGAGTTCGTGTCCACCTCCTCCTCCGGTCCCACCTCCAAAACCTTCTTCCACGAACTCTAATTTGAGGAGATTTGGATCAGATGGTTCAAATCCTGTGCGGATAGGATCATCTAGAAGAGCCGCTGCGTGGCCTGTTGTTATAACTAGGACTTCACCGACTGGGTCGAGGCCTTCTTCCCCCAGGTCTCATTGTGAAAATGAAGGTTACAATAGTGCTGATGAGCAAAACCCTTGCTTTGGATCCTCCTATGGTGATGCTGTGAGTTCTGCTTGCTTTGACCATTAATTAGTCCATTAATTTGGGATTTTTTTATGATGAGGTAGTCGCAGGGCTGGTAAAACAAACTTGACTAGTGTGTGTGTCATTGGTAATTGCATTGTTCAAGCGCTAACTTTAAGACTATGTTGGTCCTGTCTATTTTAAACCTCTTTCTCAGGCAGTCTACATTTCACTTTGATGGGATACTTGTAAATGCTTATAGTCTCATATTTCTTAAAAGGAGCCTCCTCTAATGGTGACATCAAGAACTTTGTTGCTAAATTGACATGCTGAATTTGATTCAGGAGAGAGAACGCGAGTTTGAGATTGATATAAGGCGGATCAAAGGGTTAGAGGTCAAAAGAATGCTGGAGGATGGGAACTGCCTCTTTCGTGCTGTTGCTGATCAAGTGTATGGCGACTCTGAAGTGTATGATTTGGTTAGGNTATTAATTTCTTGATCGTTAGATGAATGAATTTGAGACCGTAAGATATGTTCTAAGATCAGTCGTAATCGTTGACTTATTGGGGAAAATATTAAGAAAAAAAATTATAATTTCTTAACCGTTGAATGAATAAATTTGAGACCATATGATCGACTTGTTGAAATCGTCCTATTTTATATTATAGATATCAACTGTTTTGATTTTTTAACACAGACATAATCCAAAAAAAAATTGGTAAGTGGATTTTTTTAAAGAATCCTATTAAGGCCAGAGACCAGCCTCAAAATTTAACAGGGTCCCCTTCCCCGGCCCGCCCGAGGGTAAATATGAAATTCGTATTGATTATTTTGGTGTTTTTCAGTAGTGTTTGCAAGCTCTACTTAGTGGACCATGTCAGATGCCATGTGTAAAGCTTTATCACTGATGGTTAAATATTCGACGTAACGGCGAAATTATGTTAATATTGATTATATAGAATTATTAATTAAAAATATATAAATAAATAGAAAAATAGATCCCACATAAGTGGGGTTCACTTTGTCTATTTAACATTTTATTATTAATTAATAATATTATATCATTAATACTAACATAATATCATCTTTATATTAAATATTTTTTGATTTGAGTAGTCCCAAATGAAATATTGGCAAACCATTTATCGTGTATTAATAAAGGACCCTATTTATGTAAAATAGATCCCATGAATTTACGATAGACAAATTTACCTAGAGGGTAATGGAACATGACATATTCGAGGAGATTTCGTTCCCAAGTTCACTAGTATTGAGGGAGAGAGTGGGATTTTTAATATTTTATATTATTATTATTGATAGTTATTAGTAGTTAGGCATTAATTTAATAATAATATATTATTATTTTTATTTAATAACTTATATCTCTTTTTTGAATCATATTTAACTTTAATTCTTTGCCACTTTTGTATATTTCTTATTCTTTTTATTTCCAAACAAATAATTATGGGTAAATTTCAATGTCACCTTTTAGATTTTAGTCATATTTTATTGATATTCCCGCTAATTTTTGAAATATCACTACATATATCTGTTAGTTTTTATTAGTTATTGTTAAGGGATAATAATGTTGACACGATTTTTTTTTCCACTAATAATAGTTTAATATGAGCAATGATACTTGACTATAATTTATTAATTTAATTCACTTTTGTTGGTATCCGTTACAAATTTAATAGTTATAATGAATTAAGTCAACAAATTACGTCAATGAATTATGTCTAAATAATATTATTAGTTTAATATTTAGGTGAATTATATTTTATATATTAAAAATTTTAAAATTTTCACTCTATATTATCAAAAATTAGTTTTTTTATATTACACCATTAATATATTAAAAATATTGTAATATAAATTTTTTTGTTAGTTTTTATAGTTTATTTTATTAATATTAATTATGTAAATTTTAACAAAATAAATAAAGTAAGAATCACATTGCAACCCTTCTAACACGTTCTAAGTGTAAATTGCCAAACCTTCCAAGGTCCGATTCCCCCTTAATGATGTCCCTTCCCGGGTCTCTCTCTCTGTGCCCCTGCGTGTAAACATACGCACGCATATATGCTCTCCTTGGTCACTAAGTAATACTATACCTTTTACGTACCAGAAGAAAGGTTATCCCTTTTTGTGTGCTTCACAAAGACCCAGAAAGTCTTTACACATACGAGACTGTGAGTCTCTTTCTATCTAACTGAAGGCCTTGATCATTTTATTTCCAAATTTATCACCTGATTGTCGTGAATCTTGAAGTGTGAATTTTTTGAGCTTCGACTCGACGTGTTTGTGTCAATTTGGGGAAGTTTGTGTAATAGGGTTTGATTTGTTTCTTTTTTTTACTATGTTTGTGCTTTGATGATTGTTTTATACTTGTATCAGTGCCTGATTTGACTGAATTTCGAGTTTTACGAACTTAATCTGTCGTAAATGTTGAAATTTGGGGTTTCTGTGATATTGAATTCGTGATATTCTGATTTTATGGGCTCCGATGAATTTGATTGCAGGTACAGCTTGTTAGAGCCGAGTATTTTTGAGAAAATTTACGGGTAAATTCAGAACTTTTAAAGAGGTTTTGTTGTTCTTGAAACTTGGGAGGTCAAGATCTCATGAGAATTGTCAGGGGAATGCAGAGATCGATTCGTGAGGACCAAAGGGAATTGGGCTGGAACAACTCATTCAGCCGAGGAATTGGCGTGACCGCTCCAAAGGCAAGAACGCGCGACAAATTGAAAACTAGGGTTTTGTACCTCTAATTTGGGCTTATTGGGATAAATAAAGGCAAGGGTTTTGAGGTTGCAGAAGAAGGAAAATGACTCGGATTTTGGTTCAGCGAGGTTCTGTGTCATCGTCGAACCCGAATAGACCATCATCTTCCGTGCCAAGTTCTTCTTCTTCTTCTTCTTCTTCAGCTCCACCCCAGCCTCAGGTTACTATTACCTCTCCTCAGGTTGTTTCCACTGTGAAAAATGAGGAATTGGCAGAGGAAGTGGTGGAACAGGTTGTCATGGATGAGCTTTGTGACAGTGGAGGAGTGAAAAATGATGACCTTTTCCAGGAAAGCTTGGACTGTGCTCCGAATGATAACGATGCAAAAATTGTTAACAGTGAGACAGTTGGGATTGGGATTGATGATGTTGTGGGTTCGGGGGATTTGGTTAGAGGGCTAAGTGGGTTGAGGGTCACAGAGGAGGGCAATGATCGATCGGGTGGAAGCTCTTTGCAGGCGGTGATAGGGAGTTCGTGTCCACCTCCTCCTCCGGTCCCACCTCCAAAACCTTCTTCCACGAACTCTAATTTGAGGAGATTTGGATCAGATGGTTCAAATCCTGTGCGGATAGGATCATCTAGAAGAGCCGCTGCGTGGCCTGTTGTTATAACTAGGACTTCACCGACTGGGTCGAGGCCTTCTTCCCCCAGGTCTCATTGTGAAAATGAAGGTTACAATAGTGCTGATGAGCAAAACCCTTGCTTTGGATCCTCCTATGGTGATGCTGTGAGTTCTGCTTGCTTTGACCATTAATTAGTCCATTAATTTGGGATTTTTTTATGATGAGGTAGTCGCAGGGCTGGTAAAACAAACTTGACTAGTGTGTGTGTCATTGGTAATTGCATTGTTCAAGCGCTAACTTTAAGACTATGTTGGTCCTGTCTATTTTAAACCTCTTTCTCAGGCAGTCTACATTTCACTTTGATGGGATACTTGTAAATGCTTATAGTCTCATATTTCTTAAAAGGAGCCTCCTCTAATGGTGACATCAAGAACTTTGTTGCTAAATTGACATGCTGAATTTGATTCAGGAGAGAGAACGCGAGTTTGAGATTGATATAAGGCGGATCAAAGGGTTAGAGGTCAAAAGAATGCTGGAGGATGGGAACTGCCTCTTTCGTGCTGTTGCTGATCAAGTGTATGGCGACTCTGAAGTGTATGATTTGGTTAGGCAGATGTGCATAGATTACATGGTATGAAATTACGCCTTTGAGCACTGAACTTTTGATGTATGCATTTTCTATGCATGTGTCTATGGGGTGTTCTCTATTAGTAGTTGTTTGGATGCTATTGTGTTATTGTNGGCAGATGTGCATAGATTACATGGTATGAAATTACGCCTTTGAGCACTGAACTTTTGGTGTATGCATTTTCTATGCATGTGTCTATGGGGTGTTCTCTATTAGTAGTTGTTTGGATGCTATTGTGTTATTGTAAGGATTAGGGATGCCAGTGGGCGGTTTTGTTTGTACCCTCCTCCGCCCACATTGCCACCCAACAATTCCTTCCTTCATTAGCCTGCAAAACCCACATGCACAAATCTGCAGCCCCTCTCCAGTCCCATCCACAAAACAAAATTATTTTCATGGCCATCACTTCCATCCATTGCATACACTCCTCCATGCCCACTTGCAACTCCCATTCAATCAAACACCAAACGCCACCTAGAAAGCCTGCAGCACAACGGAATCCTCCCCCACTGCCCAAGCAACAAGAAAATCCGCAATCCACTACTGCCTCCCAATCGTGTTGCCACCCCAAACACCCTCCTTCATTGTCTAGCAACTAGGAAACCTACAACCACAACAAATCTACCATCACCCAAGTACTAGAAAACCCGTCTACTTGCCACAAAATTCATCACCACCCAAGAAACCAGGAAAACAACTGCCAAAACTGATTGCTCCACAAACTCCACTGCACCTCTCTTTAAGTCATCGCATGTGAATGAAATGCAAATCACCGTCAACTGTGTGTGAACGAGATAAAGGATTTATGAATGGTGGTGGTGGAGAGAGGGACAAATCAAAATATAAACCCTAGAAATCTAGAACTGGTTATTTTTTTGGGTCTGGATTTAATTGAATGATGCAATAGTGTATGCAATTGTGCACATGTATGGGAATTTTGAGTTTTGATTACATTTTACCACCTACTGCCATAGCTCCGACTATTCTTTTAGCATTTTTTTGGTCAATACATTATGTTAAAAGAGCTAAAAATGAAATTGCACTTATTATTGTAGGTCGATCAAGCTGTCACACCTTATTTAGTGCGTTAGAAACGTTCACGGTCAAAATAAATGGATTCTGTAATTTTTGCAGTTACTTTCCAAGTTTAGGTAGGTTTAGTACAAAAGTTTAAAGTTGAGTGAGGTCATAGCCTACCTCACCTGAGTACAAAAGGGTTTCCTGTAATCACTTCTCCTATTTTTTGTTACGAAATATTATATCTATCATTTTCGATTCTAATGCGTATGTGGATGTGAATCTTGGTGTAGTGACATTACGGCATGTTATTTGGATGAACTCTAAGTGATATAAGGCAACATGAAAACATAACAGAATATAAATAATGCTTCGGCACTAGCTATAAGACAAGGTGATGATTAGTTTCGCCTCATAAAGTTTGCTAGTATTATTGTATGTGCAACTATTGCATTTGTTCAATTAATTTCTCACCTCCACCATTCTACAATGAACAAAGCACTTTAAATTTATTGCCTGAGCCCTAAAAGTTACCAACAACTGATTTGATCTTAATGAAAATGTTACTGATGCTCTAATGAGGGTCTCAGGTATCAGATTTGTTCTGCTTGCTTCATGGAAATGTACTTCTGACACACCTTGAGACCTAAATAATTGAAATAGGTGTATGGCTTTCTGGTTTGTTGTGTCTTTCTCCTTATGCCTTGGGTCGTGGGGCCTACTCCGAATGACCTCTGCATTTTACCATGATTGGCAATTAACAATGTCTCTTTGGCCAGAAAATTATGTTTTCTGAGTCTTTGTAATATTTTTGGTGGCTTATGATTTTTGAGGTGAGTTTTTTTATTGAATCAGTTTTCCCCCTTTTTGTAATCTTCATGTGGTTTTTGTAGAGACTAGATGATAGATCACTTGAGTTTTATATGTTAAACTATTCTGGTTCAGCTTTAATAAATGTTCTAGTGTAACTTGAGTAGTTTGTATGTAGGCTTATATGCATGTGGTGTTGGATTTTGTTTTAGTACTTCAGGGGTGTTATGTCTTATTTTAGATTTTATATTCATGTTAGATCATAAAGTAATCCATTTCAATTCCTGTAGGAGCAAGAGAGAGACCACTTCTCGCAGTTTATAACAGAAGGTTTCACTTCTTATTGCAAGAGGAAGAGAAGAGATAAGGTACATTTATTGTGGTTTCTCATGCCTCAAAATTTTCACTTTCATCATGAAAATTAAATTTTATCAACATTTGGCGCAATTATTATTGGCATGACCACCTCGTTTTTCTTGTGTCAACCTCCACTCCCTTGGGTCTGGGAATTGGGGCCTTGTTCCATTAGTGAAAGAGCTTAGTTATTCATGGATTTTTTTATCTAATCCGAATACCGTTGAACTTTTAGGGAATTATTTCCTTTAATTAAGACTGAACAAGGATTAAGGTTTAAGACGAAGGTATGAAGTATCAATTTGGTTTAATGATCAGGAAGTTGAATAGTAGAAGCATATTTCCTATTTAGGTGTTCAACAAACAATTTGAGGGAAGACCTCCATGTGATACATTTGATTTAATAAAAAATAGTGTTTCCTTGGGAGATATCTTGGAGGATACTGAGGGAAGAGAGTCTCAGTTAGAAATACTATTAATATGTGCAGTGACTAGTGAGAACAAAATGAGGAAAGACAAGTGACAATTTAATGCTAGTAGGCTTACATCATTCATGGGTACCAAGTCTTTAGCAATTAGTATTGCTGTTTACAAACTAACTAGAAACATTTAGAAGGGTGTCAGTGGCGAGTTTGTTTATTGATGACATAGTCTCAGTTCACAAAATTAAAGGAGAATCAACTAGAGCAGGGTCACTTCTAGGTGTACCCCTGGGGACATATTCAAGAATCCTAAAGTTTATTTTGGAAAGACCAAGGCTAATCTCATTGAATATACAGCCTCATGAGATTATGAGAAAATAGGATTTAAGTTTCTAGTAGACATGGTTTGTATTCAATAAATTGGAAAAGCTGAATTTAGTACCATACCCAATGTAGACTGGGAGGAGAAACAGGGATCAGAAGAGAAGAAAGAGATTGAAAAAGAAAAAGATTGACAATTATTCAGTAATCCAAATCTACAATCTGTACACCCACCCCTTATATAATAACCCCTAGATCGCCACCCTAAAAGTCCTAATATGACTATTATTCCCAGCGTCTATCAACTTAAAAATTATAATGAACACTAAGATAATATTCCAAGATAAATAATCCAAAATCCAATCAAAATGTATGTTTAGGCCTAGTATAACAGAAATTACTTGGGTTCTTGTCAGTAGCCCAATTATGCAGTCAAGTTGCATTGTTATCCTCCGAATTGTTGTCAGTAGGAAGTTTCAATTTCAGTACTGGTGTAGTGGCATTACTATGTTAATACTAGCTTTAGATTCTTTTGAACTTTTCTTCCTCTTTTTTTCCTTTTCCCAATCCAAGTGTACTTGTGTATTTCCTTGGGGGGTTTTTATTATAATTATAAGTTGATAACAGGTAGTAGAAATTACAAAAACTATGCATCTTAGATTGGGTAATTCTGTTTGGGTTTCAGAAGGTTTTTACACTTGTTTGTATAGTGCACTGTTATTGTCTTTGAGTTCTTGGGTGGGGATGGCTCTTTATTATTTACTTTTTTTTTGGAGGTTTTCTCTCTCCTTTATATGTGATATACTTTTTGATAAAAACAAGAAAGGTGTGTTTACATTTTTTTCAGGTTTCAGAATGGGGTTTTTTCACGTGTTCATTGTATGATTATTTTTTTTAATCCCCTTTTGCTTTACTCGTCGGGAGGATTTAATTTTTCTTTGGGTAGACTTGTTGACTTTCCCCTCTGGCAAAAAGTAGTATATGTAGACGGATCTTGTATCAAATTGTGCAAATGGCTTTTGTTTTGATGCATACCAGAGTATTATCACAGGGAGAAGGGACTTGTGTCGAAACAAATTAGTACAACTATATCTATGAGTACCTAATTAGTATCTACCAACTTCTAGCCATAAATTATTATGCTANTGTCGAAACAAATTAGTACAACTATATCTATGAGTACCTAATTAGTATCTACCAACTCCTAGCCATAAATTTTTATGCTATACACTTGCCAACAAGTGAATGGTCAAAGCAGCGACTGGTTGAACCGACCTCATTTTTAGGTCAAGCACCATCTTGGGCTTCAGGATTAATTTTTCCTAAAGTGTGTCTTATAACTTCACACTTGGGTAACAAAGTCTTGTATCCCATGTCAAAAGATCACAACACTCGAGGTTAGTCTATAACTTTATATGGTTATGGGGTCTCTCCAATCATTGCTAGTTGGACCTTTTAACATGGCATTTGACCTAAGGCTTGGGTGGTTAGTCACGTTAGTGGGCCAAGTTCTCATTTAAATTTTCCCTTTATTCATGTTTGATTGTTTGTTTGTTAGAATGCATGCGAGTCCTAGTTCCATATGTTGGAGGGTGTAAAGAGAGTTGGTATCCTACTCGAAAGATTAGGCCACCCAAGGTTGGTTTATATGGTTGAAGAGCTTCTCCACCTATTACCAATTGGTTTTGGGTTCGATGCTCTAAGTGTATTAACATAAGAGAGTTGGTATTAATCTATGAAGGTAATTTTGGACATAATTTCCTGAACTGTTCGCTTTCAAGGTTGATGACCATTCTGGGTTTGAACTTTCAGGTTTTCCTGAACAATGTTTATTCCACACCGCAGGTTATAAAGAAAAGTAGGTTATGTTGATTGCTTTAACCTAAATAAAGATGATTTTGCCCATATTTTTCTGGCATGTTAATCTTATCTGGGGAGTCTTCTGTATAGTACTAAATAGTCTTCTCATTCCAAAAATTGAGGTTTAATGCTTACCAATTTGGACATATGATAATTGCATGCCAGTGAGAGTTAGTGGTGTAGTAAACTCCCCATGAGGAAGGCATGCTTATTGAAATACAATAACTTGTTGATGAAGTTGGATGAAATGGAACATGCAAATTAACAATTGTTGGCTAGTGCCTATAGGAAAATGCAGGGGACACTTAAAGGTATATGAATATGTTGTTAATATTGTGTGCTTGATAAATCAATGTAAATTTGAGATTTATTGTAATTATTTCTCGAATTTTTAGTCACATCAGTACCGACTTGAATCATATAAGGATTAACTATGATTTGATTGTTGTTTATGATGGTGAAAGCACATTTATATGAAGTTACTCTTGGGGAAACTGAAAAGCTGATATTTTTCCTTTTCGTTGTGCATTAGAAACAGATGGAATTCCATTTTACCTCTTTACCTCTTTCCCATTCTGTTATTGGTTACTGAATATAATTCCAAAGATAAGTTCCTGAAATTCCATTTTGCATGGCAAAGTATATAGTTGTTCCATTTTGCTTATTTAATTACCCCTCAGTATTCTGATACGGCTCATGTTTGAGAGCACATTCTTTTTGTCTTTGGCTCCTGATGGATATCTGTACTCAACATAGCCTTGTCCTAACATTTTTTGGAATGTTTTGCTATTGTGCTTATTAAGGGTCAATATTAACCCATAAGTTGCCACATCATTCTTTACCATTTCATTGAAAGTTAATTTTGGTCTTCCTCTACCTATTCGATTTCTCCATCAATAGTTATCACATCACTCTTTCTCACCAGTGTTGTAAGTAGACCGTCTACAAATATGTCCAAACCTCCTAAGTCAATTCTCACTTATCTCCGATATGTGCTATTTATATTTTTTTTCACGGAAGTTCTCATTACTAATTTCTATCATTCTTAGTTTTACCACGCATTTGTCACATTCAATATTTGAACATGTTTCTTAGCTACACCTTTGCTTACCTGATGGATATGTATGCATTTCTTTTTGCTGCGTGGCAGGTTTATGGAAACAATGTGGAGATTCAAGCTTTATCAGAAATGTACAATCGGCCTATCCATATATATTCGTATAGCACAGGTGCCTTTAAATTTAAGGTTATGTATGATTGTGATATTCCATTTGAAGAAATTTTGGTTTCTTCATTGTTCTGCCTTTTGATTTACCAAACTTGTTTAAAAAAAAATGATGGATGTGCAAGCATGATAACTCATATGCCAACTTCTTGCTGCAGAACCTATCAACATCTTCCATGGCAGCTACAATACTGACACACCTCCTCTTCGGCTAAGTTACCATCATGGGAATCATTACAACTCACTTGTTGATCCGCGTCGATTGACAATTGGTGCAGGACTTGGATTTAGCTCTCTGCAGGGGGTGAGTCTGGTTTTAGTTTCAAAAGCATCTCATCATGCCATAGATTATTGTTTCAAAACTTTCCATATTGTCCTTGTGGACTGGGACAACAGACAGCATTGATTTTAACAATGCCTAAGAGCTTAATGGTGTCTCAGAGTTATTGTATAACGGTCATCCTCTTCCTGCTCGCCCTCTTGATTTGATTATTAACAAGTGAATTTCATTTGGTTTGCTCTCCAGACAAGCGTTGGTAGAGATCAGGTCAAAGCTGCCATTAAAGCTCAACAGGACCAACAGATTGATAATGCAAGTATCTTGATGGGGGTATTCAATAATTGGTGGTGTTCATTAATTGGACATGATACTAACAAATTTGTTAATATGGCCAAATGTTTTCTCATGACAGGCCCTCTTAGCTGAGGGACGCTTTTACTCAGATCTTGAGCTCACTGAGAAGGAAATTGAGCGCATGGTAATGGAAGCTTCTAGGGCCGAGTATATTGCTAATGACAAGTTCAAGCAGCAACTTGGTCATAGAGAATCTTCTACTTCTGGTGCGGAGCCATCATCTTCTGGTGCAAGTAAGTGTAGCTTTCTAGAGAATGGCGATAGTATCCCTTAATAATCTCTGTACTGTTGTGTGCAATGGTGTAATTGGCTGCTTTTAGCTGGTTTCAGTGCGCATTTGGTTTTTGTTGCCATAGTTGTGAAACTAGGCTTTGTACGTCGTGGTTGTGACAGAGTTTAAAATTGACGAATAGGGCCATCAGGAAGCGAAACCAAGCTGGAAGGTAGGGGGGAGTGTCGGTTGACGGATGCTGTTCTCAGCAGCGGCATGCAGATGGTGCTGTCAATGGGCTTCAGCTATCTACAAGCAATTGATGCTTATAGTATATTTGGGGATGATGTCGATTCTATGGTGTGTTATTTGTTGGAAACCAGCAGTAGCAGCAGGCGCAAAGGCAAGGCAACTGAATGAGCAAACTCCGAATCCACAGGATGTGGATTAAATCATGTTGGCTTCTGCTTGCTTGCTTGCAATTGTAGCTTTAGCGAAGGACGTCGCCATTTCTATGGGGCAGGGAGACCTCATAATTCTGACTGTCTTTACTTTTTGATTGTATAAAATTAGTAGTTTGTGTCCTAAGAGTTATGAATCTGATATCTTATGGCGTAGTTCACTAAGTTATGAAGCAAACTGAAAAAAGCTAGTAAAATTATTTCTGGGTTCGTTTTGTTCATATCTCTTAGACGAGAATCTTCGTCACACACACACAAATATATATATATATATATATATATATATATATATATATATATATATAGTTCAACAGTCAAGGGTGTTGAAATTAGTTAAAAATAGGTTATTCATATCGGGATTAGGATATTTATGAGGTATAAATATTTCATGGTTTAGTGCTAATGAGTTATCAAGATTCGAACTTAGGATGTATGAGTTAGTTTGGTACTTGTGTGGTTTTTTTTAATGGACTAATTGTCTTGTACACGGTCATCTGTAAATTCAATTTTAGAGGAGAGTGAGAGAGATATGAAAGTTATAAAAAATAAATTATGAGGAAGTAAATGTAATTATGGGCAGTTATGTGTAATTAAGAGAAGAGAAGAGAGATATTCTAGGTTTTTCCAAATGTGGACACCATTGAGTTAGTGTTGGTTTTTTTTCCCATCTCTGATGGGCGAGTGGAGGCAAGGAAATGGGGGAGGAGAGAGAAAGAGATAGGATGTGGTGGTGGAAGGGAGTGAAACACAAGCAAGTAACGATCAAGATCTCCTCCAATACGCATTTCCTCCATTTCATTTTTTGGCAAATGTTGGACAAAGACAAAGGGGACGATGGGAGGTGGGCGGTAACAGAGGGGAGAAGGTTGTTTGGAGAGTGAAAATCGATTTAATGTATTTTTCTCTCCATTCTCCTTATTGACACATCATTCAATGTAAATGTAAGTGAACTTAGGTGAATTTCACTCATTATTGATGAATGCTGTTATAAGGAGAAAAATAGACGGAAAAATAAAAGTATTGGAGAGAATCTGACCCACCGTTGGAGAAGAGAGTGAGTGTGACTGAGGTCATAGAGGTCCTATGCCGAATTGTGTCGATGAGAACTAAAAGATTTAACATTAAAAATTATATACTTTAAGACAAATAAATATAATTTAGAGTACCTCTTCACAATTCTTTGTAATTTTATCATGCCTCTCATTCTTTTGAATATTCCGTATCAATAAAACTATTATCTTTTCTTAAAAAAAAATCATTTGTTAGTTGAACTTTTTCTCTATTTTAATTATGACCAAATTTGATCAGTTGACTAAGGGCAAATGTGATTTTGCTATTAAAGATTCTAATTAATCTAATTAAGGTCCTTATTCCATCTATACTATTATTAAACGGAGAGGAGAGGTTTGATGTCCACTTAGTTAATGACACCAAAAAATCAATTTGACTTTTTTTTTTTTTTAACATAAATGATTATAAAAAATAAGACTTAATACATGTTACAGAGTCTATCTCGATTTGCCTCACTATTTTTTACTCTCCTATTCTACACGTATAAAAATTTAATACTAAAAGATCATTATATTATGATGATACCTCAAAATAAATCTCAAATGCCAGCTCNACATAAATGATTATAAAAAATAAGACTTAATACATGTTACAGAGTCTATCTCGATTTGCCTCACTATTTTTTACTCTCCTATTCTACACGTATAAAAATTTAATACTAAAAGATCATTATATTATGATGATACTTCAAAATAAATCTCAAATGCCAGCTCAGGAGGTCAACTCAGCCCAGGAGGTCAGACTAGATGAACAGAACTCGAAAGAGTAGAGCTGGAGGTCCTTTCGAGATAAGCAAGGACAATAACAACCAAGGCAACAGCTGGAAGATCACGAGAGGTTCCTAAAAGCGTTAGGAAACTATAATCAAGACACCTAATCTCAACCAACCAAAATCTTCTCCTAGAATTAGGGAGAATCCCACGAAGTAAGGGCAAGAATCTCAGCTAAGATCCCACTTAGCAGGGAATGACCCTATAAATGCACTGTAACACCTCCTAACAAGAGAGAGGACCCTAGAGGCAAGAGGAAGCTATAACAACTTTGTAATCATCATGAATAAAATAGAAGGAGCAAGAACCTCTATTGAAGAGTGGACTAGTTGAGCTCCTGAGCCGGTGAACCACTATATTTTTACTGTGTGCACCCCGTTAATTCCCTTAATATTTTATCAGTTCGCATCATATACGAGCCTCGTAGCTCTGATCCACGCTCACCTCACACTACTTTCACTTTAAACTCTTCCACGTTGGTATACGCCATCAGTTTGGCGCCGTCTGTGAAAACGACTGTTCCTGTTATGAATAAAGCTGATTTTTCAGTGACTGATGGTATCAACGCGAAACATGAGCCGAAGTCAAACCAATCCTCTACGGATGCAAGATTAACAGGAAGCCGCAAATAACAAACAATCCGAAAACGCTCAAGAAGTAGATCCCCCTATGGGGGGCCTTCCCATGAATAATGAGATGGAGGCCCTTCATCTTGTCAATGAACGTCTGATAAAACAGAACGAAGTGCACTTAAAGCTCCTACAATGCCCACAAGAGGCGCGACTGGCCTAAGGAGGCCAGAATAACCCACTATCAAGAGAGCAACCGCATCTCGACCCCTTTAGAGAAGTTAATGAAGTGGGAGAGAATAGCCAGACCTGGGGCAAGAACCTCGCCTACCCCGTAGGAATGGTCACAACAAGGAAGTGCAAAGTCAGTATAAGGAAGGGGAGAGGAGCAACTTCTTCCCTTATTAACAGGAGAGAAGAGAACACCACTAGGAGCAATATTTAAAAGACATCCAGCAAGAGCTCAGCCAGATGAAGGAGGCAGTGAAGAGCAAGACCCCAGTTACTATGGATGCCTTGGTGCAGCAAACCGAATCCCCATTCACTGCTGGGGTACTGCACTTCCCTCTCCCACCTAAATTTAGAATGCCGCAGGTGGATGCTTTCAATGGGACAAAAGATCTCGTGGACCACTTCAACACCTACAAGAACCAAATGGAGTTGCATGAATATCAAGATCTAGTAAGATGCAGGGCCTTTGCTATCACCCTGAAGGGCTCAACCTTAGCATGGTTCAACAGACTCCCCCCAGCCTCGATTTTCTCTTTTAAAGAGCTGTCAATCTCGTTTGTGTTCCACTTCATCGGAGCTCGGACCTATAGGAAACCAAGCTACCATTTGTTGAATGTGAAATAGGGACCTAATGAGAACCTATGGTCTTATGTCCAATGGTTCAACTTAGAATCCTTGAAGGTGGATGTCCCAGACAAAAAATTTACTATTACAACCTTTATAGTAGGTCTGAGAGTTTAGTCAAAAGATCNAGAGCTGTCAATCTCGTTTGTGTTCCACTTCATCGGAGCTCGGACCTATAGGAAACCGAGCTACCATTTGTTGAATGTGAAATAGGGACCTAATGAGAACCTACGGTCTTATGTCCAATGGTTTAACTTAGAATCCTTGAAGGTGGATGTCCCAGACGAAAAATTTACTATTACAACCTTTATAGCAGGTCTGAGAGTTTAGTCAAAAGATTNGGACAAAAGATCTCGTGGACCACTTCAACACCTACAAGAACCAAATGGAGTTGCATGGATATCAAGATCTAGTAAGATGCAGGGTCTTTNTGGATGCCTTGGTGCAGCAAACCGAATCCCCATTCACTGCTGGGGTACTGCACTTCCCTCTCCCACCTAAATTTAGAATGCCGCAGGTGGATGCTTTCAATGGGACAAAAGATCTCGTGGACCACTTCAACACCTACAAGAACCAAATGGAGTTGCATGAATATCAAGATCTAGTANAACCGCATCTCGACCCCTTTAGAGAAGTTAATGAAGTGGGAGAGAATAGCCAGACCTTGGGGCAAGAACCTCGCCTACCCCGNGAAGTCCTAGAAAGGAAAGAGAACGAGATAGGTCTCCAAGAAGAGACAGAGAGCATTCCCTGAAGAGAAGGAAAAATGTCAGGGATCGCCTCGGCCCACCACAACTAGAGCTACAACCAAGGTGTGCACCCCAACAGCTCACCCCCCTGACTGCTACGGTGTCTCAAATATTGTATGAGGTGCAAAATGAGAGGTTCTTAAGGTGGCCACCCTAGATGAAAGTAGACCCGGCAAAAAGGAATCCTACGAAGTATTCTGACTTCCACAAAGACCATGGTCATCACACCGACGACTGTATCCAATTGAAGAAGGAAATAGAATTTCTAATCTAGCGAGGGCAACTGTGACGCTATATGGCCAATGATAATCAAAACCGAGCTTTCCCACCCCCACCCCCTCAATGTCAAGCACCAGAGCCACACCAGCAACCTATGGGAGTGATCAGAGTGATATCTGGAGGATTTTCTGGAGGAGGAGGGTCCAGCTCTGCCAGAAAGGCCCACTTGCGAAAGATCAGAGCCACAGAAACTCCCGAAGTATATACTGTGTCTAAGTCTCCACGCTTAGACACGTCTATCACTTTCTCAGATTTAGATCTGGGGGGCTGCCAATATCCCCATGATGACCCTTTGGTGGTAAGAGCTGTGGTGGCTAATAGGACTATCCATCGTGTTTTGATTGATAATGACAGCTCGACAGATATCATTTTTGTTTCTACTTTCGACAAAATGGATATAGAAAGAGAAAAGCTTAAACTAGTAAGTGTCCACTTATTGGGATTCTCAGGAGAAAGGGTGCTGCCCCTGGGGTCAATCCAACTCATCTTGACCTTAGGTGACCCACCTTATCAGACTACAACAACTGTAAAATTCCTAGTAGTTGATGCACCTTCAACATACAATATGCTCCTTGGAAGACCCTCGCTCAATTCTATAAGGGCTATTCCCTCAGCCTATCACCTTGTAGTGAAGTTTCCAACAGAAAATGGAGTTGGAGTAGTCCG